CCCTCCTCACCCCCTGCATCCTTCCTGCATCCTCCCTGCGCCCCCTCCTCACCCACTCCATCCCCCCTGTGCTCCCTCCTCACCCCCTGTCCCCCTCCTCACCCCCCAGGCTCCTTCGGGGCCCCGCACACGGGTGGGGTTGGGGATGGGGGTCCCTGGGGGGGTTTTGAGTGGGGCTGCTCCTTTCCTGACCCCTTCAGCCACCCCTGGGGTGAGAGGGGTGTGTGGGGGGGGATCATGGAGGGGATGGGATCATCCCCCCGCAGCCCACCCCATCACAGGCTGGAAATTGGGGTCGGATCATCCCCTTTGGAGGGACTTTGAGGGCCCTCTCCCCCCTCAGGACCGGGATCCCGCTCTCCTCCCCATGGTTCTTCCCAGCCTCTCCCTCTGCTCCCTCACAATTCCCGCTGTTCCAGCCTGTTATCCATGGCTGCTCTGTTTGGGGATGGTTCAGGAACAGAACAATCCCTTCCCCATGGCCTCGTCCCTCCCCTTCACTCCGGGATTCCCACTGGAATCCGGGCCCCTGGATTGTCCCCTGCAAGGATTCTGTCCCGGGCAGGTGCCAAAACATGGATAAAAGTGACCAATTCTTCCCTGAAACCCAAACACAGCTTCGCCTGTGCCGGACTTTTCCCATATTTAGGGCAGAAATTCCAGCCTTTTCTCTCCTCCATCCTCCCAAACCCACGTTTGGGAGGGTCGGGTCACTCAGGAGGCTCCATCCAAGCTCCATCCAAGCGGGAACTTTGGTGGATTCCAGCTGGAGGTGGGAGCAAAGGAGGGGGAGAGCGAGGCAGGCGGAACTCCAGGCAGGTGGAATTCCAGGGTTTCTCCTGCTGGATCTCTCCAAGGCAGGATGGGGATCCTGGTTTAACTGATCCCGGGGTTCTTTTCCCCAAAGAGATGCGAAGGAAGGGGGATAACGGGATAACACCCATCCCAGGGCCCCTGGGAGACTCCCGGGCTGTTGGGGTGTTTGTGACCGGAGGAACAGCCGGAGGAACAGCCGGCTGGAATTCCAGCCCTTTCCCTACGGGGCCTGGAGGGGGTTTTAAGGACAGTAACGTGGGGCCTTTGGGGCCAGCCCGGAGCGGGAGGCGCTGGAAACGCCGGGAGATGCCGTGTGGATCCTCGGGAACAGTTCTCCCTGCTCGGCTGGTGCCAGGCTGGGGTTAATTACAGGTTAATTACGGTTGAATCCCAACTGATCCCGCTGTTGAATCGTCCTGTGGATGAACTGGCAGGATTGGGATCTGGGGGGGGGTTTCCTTGCGTGGAATCCGTGTGGTGGCTCCAGGGAATGAGTTTTCCCGGGTTTTTTTTCCTATTGCTGGTTTTGAGCCCCAGCTTTGGGCGGCCCATCTCTCCATCTGGGGAGGTTCCAGTGGGAAAAGGCCAAGGAGTCTGGTTTGGGGGCGAGGGAAGCTCCCGGAAAAGGGAAGGGGGTTTGGTTGGGAGCACTGGGATAACGCAGGCGGGATCCACCCTCTCCAGGTGGGATTTGGAGTCACCAGGTGGATTTGTTGGGGTTTGGTGGTAGAAGGAAGTGGAGCAACTGGTGGAGGCGGAGGAGGATGATCTTCATCATCCTCAGGTGCCGAGGGCCGGCGTTTCCCAGGGCTTTTCCACGGCACTTCCCAATCCTTGGAGTTACCGGGAGCCGGCGGGTGTTGCAGGGGCAGGTGAGGGGAAATCAGGACTTTAATTAACTGTACTGGGTCCAATTAACAGCCCTGGATGGGGCAGGTGCTGATCCTCAGCCTGGCCACGTGGGAACGATGCCGGAGCTGATCCCGGCGGGCACGAGGCGGAGCCCGGGGCAATCCGAGGATCCAGACGTTCCTCTGCTCCCAGGAACAAAGCACTGGAATTGGAACAAAAGGCTCTGCTGCCCCGGCTGGGGGTGGTTCCCTCCGAAAGCGGCTCCTCGGGCAGGAATTTGGTGTCGTTTGGGCTGAATCTGTTGAATTTTAAGAGTTGTTAGCGCTGACTTCCCACCCGGATTTGGTGCTCCGAGTTTATCCTGGAGCTTGCTCCGGGTGAACTCAGGGGAGAGACTCGGTGCAGCCTCTGGAGTTGGGTTGTTTCTTAATTAACAACCAACGAGGCGACTTTTGGGGCTGTGAAATGGATTTGGGGTAAAACCAGGGATCTGGCAGAGGGATCCATGCTGGGATCTGCCCCTGGATCTGGCAGAGGGATCTGTGCTGGGATCCATGCTGGGATCTGCCTGTGGATGAGGCAGAGGGATCCATGCTGGGATCTGGCAGAGGGATCCATGCTGGGATCTGCCCCTGGATGTGGCAGAGGGATCCATGCTGGGATCTGTGCTGGGATCTGCCCGTGGATCTGGTAGAGGGATCCGTGCTGGGATCCGTGCTGGGATCTGCCCGTGGATCTGGCAGAGGGATCCATGCTGGGATCTGCCTCTGGATCTGGCAGAGGGATCCATGCTGGGATCTGCCCCTGGATCTGGCAGAGGGATCTGTGCTGGGATCTGGCAGAGGGATCCGTGCTGGGATCTGCCCCTGGATCTGGCAGAGGGATCCATGCTGGGATCTGCCCGTGGATCTGGCAGAGGGATCCGTGCTGGGATCCCTGTGTGAGGAGCGGGAGGAGAGGCACAGCCGACTCTCCCCTCGTTTGGTTCATTAATTAATTAGCCATCCTGGGGCAGCAGGGGGTTCTGTCTGGTTTGGAGACAGGAGCAGGAGCTTTAGGAAAAATCCCGTTTTGTTGGAAAACCTCTTGGGAATAAGAAGGAATAAGGGATTGGACCCTCGGAGCGGTGCCTGTGCCCCGCAGGGTGCCGAACCCTCTGGAAGGATTCCAGGGGGCACCCTGCGGCTCTTAGGGATACAAATCCTTGGGAGCAGAGACCCGGGCTTTGGGCTGGGAGTCGGCATCCCCGGGATGGCTGTTCCCCCTCCCCAGCCCGGCTCACCCGCTCCCCGTCCCTTCCAGCTCCCGGAACGCCGCGGTGCCGCCACGGGCTCCCCGCTGGAAGAGTCCACATAAACGCCTCTGGAACGCTCGGACGGACGTCGGGAAGCAAAAATGGTAAGAGACGGGGGGGATTCCCGCCCGTGGGACGGCCGCTTGTGTCCCAGGGCGCCCCTGAGTTGTCCCGGATTCATCCCTCGGCAGCGCCCGATGCGGATCTTCGTCAACGACGACCGGCACGTGATGGCCAAGCACTCGGCCGTGTACCCCACGCAGGAGGAGCTGGAGGCCGTGCAGAACATGGTCTCCCACACGGAGCGAGCGCTCAAAGCCGTCTCCGACTGGATCGACGAGCAGGAGAAGGTCAGCGGGGAGCAGCCGGAGTCGGAGTCCATGGAGACGGCGGCCGAGGAGGAGAACAAGGAAGGAGGGTGAGGAGCATCCCTAAAAATCAGGGGGGGGGGAAAGTTGTGGGACTGGGGGGAATTAACTGACGATTGTTGGGGGCGGGTGTGGTGAATCCATCCTGGGTGAATCCCCATGGATCCGTCCCTTAGGTCGGGTGGGGCATTCCATGGGGTTTGACCGTGTGGTGAATCCATCCTGGGTGAATCC